TGATGACGCGCAGTGATCGGTAATGCAACAAAAGGGGGAGCGGCGCGAGGAGCACGCGGTCGCGAGGAAGGCATTTCTCCCCCAAGCGGCTTGCTCAACGGGGTGATGTTGTGATGGAAGCTAACTCCGGCCGGGGGGAAGGGGAGCAGAGACATCCTCGCAACAATCTGATGGTCTGGGCCGTTTCGCTTAAGACATCCTCACAACTCTCGTTTCTGAGTTGGCCGGGGTTGGCCGTTTCGCCTGAGACATCCTCGAGAAGTTGCGCTCCGGGGCGCCGCGCGAGAGGTGGCCCGGGCCGTTTCGCTTGAGACATCCTCGAAACTCTGAGCCCCGAGGTGCCGTGCGAGCGGTGGTCCGGGCCGTTACGCCAAATATATCCTCGAGACTCTGAGCTTTGAGATGCCTTGCGCGAGGTGGTCCGGGCCGTTTCGCCTGAGACATCCTCGAAACTCTGACCTCGGAGATGCCGCGCGAGAGGTGGCCCGGCCCGTTTCGCCTGAGACATCCTCAAACTTCTGAGCTCTGAGATGCCATGCGCGAGGTGGTCCGGCCCGTCTCGCCCGAGACATCCTCGCAACTCTGAGCTCTGAGATGCCGTGCGCAAGGTGGTCCGGCCTGTTTCGCACAAGACATTCTCGCAACTCTGAGCTCCCAGTTTCCGCGCAGGAGGTGGTCCAGCCTGGGGGTCCAGAAAAACACATGTTACATGTCCTCCCTGGGACCCTAGGAGCCCCAGGAAGCCCCAGAGAGCTCCAAGAGGCCGCGGGGCGCTCAGGACAGGCCCCAAGGGTCCCCAGGAGATTCCCAGGAGGCCCCGGGAGGCCACCTCTTCAGAACGTGTCAAGGTAATGCACATCCGGTGCCGATTCGTTGATTTTTCCCGCCCCCGTGCCCCCCCCTCCATTTTGAGGGGCCCGAAAGGCCACAGGTTATATATGTATATATATATGTATGTATGTATGTATGTATGTATGTATGTATGTATGTATGTATGTATGTATGTATGCATGTGTGTGTATATATATATATATATATATATCCCCTGGGTGCCCCAAGAGGCTTCAGGAAGCCCCAGGTGGAATTCAGGAAGCCTCAGGGGGCCCAGGAGGAAGCCCCAGGAGGTCCCCAGGAGGCCCCGGGAGGCCCCCGCAACTGGGAGCTCTGAGACGCCGCGCTCGAGGTGGTCCTGCCCGTTTCGCCTGGGACTTCCTCGCCCGAGACATCGTCGCAACTCTGGGGTCCGAGATGCCGCGCCCGTTACGCTGGAGACATCCTCGCAACTCTAGGATCCGAGATGCCGTTCGGGATGAAGAGGAGGTGGAGGAGGAGGGGGGGGAGGCGGAGGAGGAGGAGGAGATGGAAGGGAGAAGGAGGAGGCGGATGATGTGGGTGAGGGAGCAGGCAGGAGGAGGACAAGGACAAGGACAAGTCGCTCGGGGAGAGATCCGCGGCAGCAGCAGCAGCTAGGACCTACTCTAACCTTCCTGCGAAGGATGCGGACGCGGGCCCCTATAGGGGCCTGCCAGCGGGCACGGACGGAGAGCCATTGCCCTCGGGCCGCGGCCGCACACGGCAAGGATGACACTCCTCGCTCCAAACAGTGCTAGCTCGCATGGAGCGGGGGCCGTCGCGGGCCCAGTCCCTGGGCGCACGGGGCCCCTGAGGGGGGGGGCGCAAGGCGAGGGAGGGAGGGGATGGGGAGGGCAGCGGCAGCGGCGGAGGTTGGGGGCGGGGGCGGGGGCGGCCGCGGCCCTCGAACTTCGAGAACGCGGGGGCGCGCGCGCGGTCGCGCGCGCGCCGCTCGCCGCTCCGCTCCTCGCTCCTCTCCTCGACCCCCCCCTCCTCCTCCCACCCACCGCTAACTATCGCTAATTGGCTGCGCTGGCACGGGAGCTCACCCTATTCCCTGGAAGTAGTGGTATAGCTCGGGCTCTCATAAGGGCAACTCCTGAGGTATAATTTCCACCATCGTATGTACCCTGGTTGTCCGTATTTGTTTTATCCAGCACATATTGCGTGAACTGGCCCAGTAATCATGAGCGAGAGCGGCAAGGTCGTGCATCGGTCGAGTGGTTTCGACTCTCCGTTCAATCGAATAAACGTGCAAATATGGAAAGCCGTCTCTTATGTCGCCGTCGCGAGGAGGGGGGGGGAGAAGGGGGGGAGTTGCAGGAGAGGACCTAACGGGAAGCGAGTGTGACGTGGACTTGTCAGAACGTGTGCGAGAGGTTGTCTGGCCCGTTTCGTTTGAGACATCCTTCCAATACTGAGCTCCAAGATGTCGCTCGCGAGGTGGTCCGGCCCGTTTCGATTGAGCCATCCTCGCAGTGCGAGGCTCGAAACTGTTGCGCGCGAGATAGTCTGGCCCGTTCTGCCTGAGACGTCTCGTAGCACAAGGGCTCCAATCACAACCTCTCTCATTCCTTCTCCCGCCTCCCTTTTCCCACGTCCCGCCTGGCTCCTCTTCCCTCCTCCCTCCTCCCGCCTCCCGCTGCTGCGCCTCTGCCTCTGCCTCCCCGCCCCCGCCGTCGTCGTTTCTGCCGCCTCAGCATCCGCCATGCGCGCGCTGCCTTCCGCCTTCCCCAGACATCCGACGTCGCGATTTTTCTTTTGAGACGTGCGCCGCGTACCTCTCGATATCACGCCCGGGGGAACCATCGCGACATGCCCCCCCGCTTCCGCGCCCTCCTCCGCTTCCTCTTACAGTTGCTTCCGAATTCACAGCATGGCGGTGGGGCCTCTCGCAGTGCCGACCCGACAGCTTACTCGTCGACCAGGTGCGAGAGAGTACGACACCCTCCAGCGTTAGCTTCCTGATAGGTATGCGTCACACAAGTTTTCGTGCAAACATCTCATGTGCAAACACCGTGTAATCCTGTTCTAACATGCCATGCCAGTGCGCACTGGGCGGGCACGCAATCGACCTTGGAAACCGCAGTGGGTCTAAAAACCCTGTTTTGGGATACTGCGCTCCGGCTATAATTTTGACAAGCGCTCATCTCCCCGACGAGTGGTTGTTCCCCGCGGCGTGCCCCGTCGCGCACGCTCACGCGGCGACCATGCGGTCTGCGGTCCGCCATTTGCAGCCTGCGGTCCGCCATTGCAGCCTGCGGTCCGCCACTGCGACGGTCTGCCACGGGCCCGCCACTGCGGCTTCCCCGTGGCTCAGCCGATGATCTGCGGCACCTTCATTTTCAGGTGCTCCAGCGCCGCCTGCTTCTTCTGGGCGGGTGTGATGTTCTCGTAGTTGTAATCGTGTCCCTTCGCCTCGGCGATGTCCTTCCACTTCGTCTTCGTCAACTTCTTGACTTCCATTTCGATGGTTTTCCCTTTGTGTTCGCCCTCGCGAGTGACTCGTGCGACCCGCGTGCTCTTGAAGTCCCAGGCAATCGTAAAGCCAACGCCGCTCCCCTGGCCGCAGGCTCCTCGGGCGGACTGTCCGTCAGGTCAACGTGGATGACGCCGGGGTCTCCACTGTCCACTGGGCCCGGCGCTGACCGTGACGGCGCGACTGCGCTTTCGTCGCGGTCAGCGTCGGCGAGATGTGGAACGCTGCCGACGCTCATGTCGTCCCACATCATCCGGAGCAACCAAGGCGCGTCCTGAACATCCAGGCCAAACATTCGTCGCTTGAACTTTACCGCGCGCACAGGGCGCATCTCTGTGGGTTGGGTGCATCAGAGCACTCTTGGCGCGCGCCCTCAGGGTCAACGCCGACGGCGCTGCAATATTATCCGGCGGGCGCTGGTGCCCCCTTTCCCTCCCCCGCCCTGCCGGCGCGGTGCGTTGCCTCTTGCGGGGGGCCTCGGGGGAGGGGTCCGCGCCGCCGCCCAGACTCTTCATGGGGTCGTCATCCTCCTCTTCCTCCAAAGTGATTTCGCCGCCGCCTGCAGCTCTCCACGCCGCTGTCAGGAGCTTGTATGCGCGGCGCCCCTTCAACTGACCCTTCCTGACAACCTGGCGCGGAGGGCGCGCCCTCAGAATCCAGTCCTTCACCGAGGTCACGTGCGCAAGCGTCGCTGTCTCAGACTGCCTTGGAACGCTGGGATTCCCCGCCTGGATTGTCCGCGAGTCCTTCTTTGAGACGGCAGCCGGCCTCTTGCAATGGCCGCCGCTGACGCGCGGCGTCGTCTCTGCTGTGGGCGCCTCGCCCGAAGGCATTCCGCCGCTGCGGTCAGACGCATCCGCTGCAGCGCCGCGCAGCCGCTGCTGCGGGGGTCGCGGCCGCCGCTGCGGTTCCGCCGGCAGAGAGCGGAAGGCCGCGCGCGCAGGGGGGGGCCCGAGCCGCCTCGGGGGCCAAACGGCGACAGGACGGCCGACGAGGCTCCAGGGAGTGATCTGAGCTGAAATTCTCTGTGCGTTCAAACGGGTTAAAAACACCCTTTTGAACGCAGGGCGAGGGCGAGGGCGAGGGCGAGGTGTGTGGGGGGGTGGGGTGGGTGGGGTGTGGGTGGTGGTGGGGGGGGGGCGAGGCGAGGGCGACGGCGGGGGTGTGGTGTGGTGTGTGGTGTGTGCGTGTATGTGTGTGTGTGTGTGTGTGTGTGTGTGTGTGTGTGTGTGTTGTGTGTGTGTGTGTGTTTGTGTGTGGGTGTGGGTGGGGTGTGGGTGGTGGTGGTGGTGGTGGTGGTGGTGGTGGGTGGTGGTGGTGGTGGTGGTGGGGGGGGGGGGGGCGGGGGGGCGGGGGCGAGGGCGAGGGGGGGTGGGGGGGGGGGGGGGGGGGGCAGGGGGGGCAGATGTTCTTCCCAGCGCGGGCCTCGCATCCGCTACTGCGGCCGTCGCAGTTGCTAATGGATGCGGTCGCCGCGACGCGCTCGGCCGCCGCCGCTGCGTTCCAAGACCACTAGGTACTTGAATACATCGAGTGAACCTCTGAAACACCCGGCGTTCGGCACTCCGCGGTTGCGGTTTTGCGTGCGTCGGGAGTGCCCGTGCGATCCGTCTCGGCTCCTGTGCGATTGCAAAATTAATTTTCCCTGGCTGTCGAATGGCTGCTTCGCCGTCTTGAACTTCTTCGCCTGCCTCGCCTCGTCCGTCCGCCACGTTTCTGCCTCTGACTTCGTTTCCTTTTCCGCTGTGGCAGAGACCTCCGACGACAATTCCTTGCCCTTCTCCACGGGCGCCGTGTTCGCCAGCGCTGGCATTGTAATGGCCAGCGCTAAATTGGCCTTAGCAGGCATTGCGACTGCCGTCTCTTTCTCTGGGAGCTCCACGTTGAACAGCGCAAGTGCGCTACCTTCTTTCGAGGCGCGCTTCTGCCGCTCCGCCGCAGTGAGCCTGGTCACTGCCCAAAAGTACTGCATGCTCTCTTTGGTATCCCACTCCCACGTGGTCCCATGGGGTTCAACGTCCGCAGGCGTGGTGTTCGTCGGCAGCTTGACGTCTGGGTGGATATTCACAATTCGGTGTTCCAACGCCGACGAGGAGTCTGCCTTCTTCACATGCACATTCGCTCGCACTTTCTCGGGGTGCGTGCTTTTCTGGGCAACCTTCATGGATTTCCGGACGCGCGGCCAGAACTCGAGGGCCTCCGCCTCGCGTCTACGGGCGGCTACAATGCAGCGTTTGCCCGACGAAGCCCGCGCCTGCATGTCGACGCCCTCCGCCGCTACTGCGGCCAAGTGGTGCGCCCGCAGAGCCGCGACCACAGCGTCGCTGAAAGCGTGCGACATCCCCAACTCCTCCTTTGACGACGACTGAAACCACTCGGCCACAGACAGCGCTGTCCACTTGTTGTCCTTCGTTTCTGCTTCCCTGCTAATCTGGGATGTCGTTGGCAGCTGCGTCTCTGCGTCAAACGTCAGCACCTTGGGTTTCAGTGCTTCGCTTCTCGGCGCCGCTGCGTTATCTGCTGCAGCGGTCTGTTTGGCAGCAGGCAGTTTCGTGAAAACGAGCTACGTCGGTTTCTTAGGGTCGTCCAGACGCGCCGCTGCGCTTTCCAGTTTGCCGCGATCACCCTTGCTGTCCAAGCCGTCCAGAACTGTCTTGCAAGCGCGCGCAATCTCGATGCGAGCATCCACCAGACTAACCTTGTAGCGGGGGGTATCCTTGGCATATTCGCAAAGTGCGCTTGTGACCTCCGGGCGCACATTCGACCTGAACGCGAGCGGGTGTTCCATGGCGTTGACTGTGTTGGCCGCGTGATGCAAATGCATCACCATGACGGTATTGGCGCTGCAGACGATGTATCCACTCATGTCTTGACCAGAAAAGCTATGGACCTGGGCGCCACGCCGCGGTATCATGCCTTTTTTTCAGAGGCGGTGCGTTCCTGTGGCAGCGCATGACCGCGGCCACCTTGACCCGCGGCGCGTCGACGGGCAACTTGTGGGCGAGCCCGTGGGCGCCGAGGCGCAGAGCTCGCCTTTTCCGAGTTCACGTATGCTGGGCAAAACTCAAGCAAGAGACCGATGAACGCTGCCTTGGTGCTTCCGGGACCGACCGCGAAATCGAAGAGCTCCACGAAGTCTGGATCGTTGACGGCCCGATCGAGTTGTTGCCTCAATTTTTCATGTATATATATATATATATATTTTATAGAACGCTGAAGAAAGGCACGTGGTCAGCGACTGCGTTATCCAGGGCCTTGTTCACTGCGGTGCACAGAGCGCGCAGCGCAGTGACGTCAGTCGTGCGCATGGCAAAATCGCCCCCCTTGTTCAAGGATTGGCGAATCAGCGATCCGCCGAGGGGTTCCTTAACCATTATCTCCCAAGAACGCACCTCCATGAACATTCCCGGGTCCACGAGCTTTTTGGCGACTGGGTCGTTCTCCGCGACTGCGGCCATGTCGACGTAGCCGTTCTTACCCTTCAGCTTCTCCAGCCTGGCCCATTCTTGTTCGTTGAGATCCATGCCATCGGGGGTCGGCCACTTCGCGCCCGCCGCCACCGCCCGCAGCGCGAGACGCAAGTGGGAGTGTGACAGCGTCCCAAACTGCACCTGATGAAGAGCCCCCTCCGCTACTGCGTAAGAAACAAGCATTGAGGTGCACCCTCGCATTCTTCATGTTGAAATCAGTGTGCGTCTCGAACTCGGCGTTCTCCTTCGATTCGTCCACGAGATTTTTTTGTTTGGTGCTCTTTAATGCGCGCGCCCTCGTGGTCGGCTTCCGTCTGCGTGTGCCCAGCCGCGATGATCTGCATGACAGGCTCGCGCGCCCTCTCGTCCCGAGGGAAAGCGCCACCTCGATTTAGCGGGTGTGGGGCGAGCAGCTGCAGTGCGGTGCGGGCTTTGTCCTGGCCATCTCTCCGAAACCGCAGCCTGCGCGCGGCTGCCACCTGGGAGATTCCCAGCTGCTGGGCTGCCTCGCCATCCGTTGCGACTGCGCTGGCGCCAATTGTGCGGGCCCGCGGGCTGCGGGGCCAGGCTCCCAGAAAAAGCGCCGCGACTGCGGCCTGTCGCCGGGGCCGCCTTCGCGAGGAGGTGCGCAACTCGCGCCGCGCAGGCAGGAAGTAAGCAGCAGCTGTGATTGAGATGCAGCTGCAGCCCGGATGACAAGTGGTGATGCTGACGACGTTGATGCGGCTGGTGATGGTCGATGTCGGCGGTGGGATCGAAGCCAATGGGGAGTGTGGGGGCGAGGGGGGCGAGGATGAATATGAGGATGGCATGAAGAACGGGGGGGGGGGGGGGGGGGGCGAGGGGGGGGGGGGGGGGAGGGCGAGGAAACTGAGGAGACGAAGGAGGAGGAGGGGGAGGGGGGGGGGGGCGCATCAGGGGGGGGGGCAGGAGGGGGGGGCGGAGGAGGAGGAGGAACATGAGGACGAAGGTGCTGGCGATCCTGGATGAGGATGCGGAGGGGGAGCAGGGGGGGGGGCGACGACGACGACGACGAGGGGGGGGGCAAGGAATAGCAGGAAGACGATTTTTTTCAATTGCGAATGCATGTGCTGTAGCTCATGCGCTCAGGCGGAGCTGTGTGCGCCCCCGCGCGAGGCGCCCGCGCCGTGACTGCAGGCTCTGACGCCGCTGCGCTTTAGGCTCACTGCGCCACTGCGCTGTAGCCTCACTGCGCCACTGCGCTTCGGGCTCACTGCGCCGCTGCGCTTGAGGCTCGCAGGTCGCGGAGATCGACGTCCTTCTTCCAGGCGTCCCTCTTCCAGTCGTCCTTCTTCCTGTCGTCCTTCTTCCTGTGGGGCTTGGTGCGCTGCCTTTCCGCGGCGTTCTGGCCCTGGCGCCCGTGGCCGATGAAGATGTAGTTCTGGTGGGTGCCTTCCTTGTGGTGCTGCGAGTGGGTCTCCCAGCTCAACTGATGCTGTATCCCGCGATTGCGGTTTGCATCTTCCTGCCACTGTGGCATGTTGGGGACCGTGTCCCATGCCGATGAGATGGCGGAGGTGTTGGTCCTCGTCAGCCAGCGTGGCAGAGGCGGGGCAACGCGCTCTTGGTAGGTTGCCACTCGGACTTCGCACTCTCCAAGCGGCACGACCCAGTTCTGGTGTGTCACGAGCTGGTGCTCGGCCACTCGCTGGAAGTGTATTCCCGCTTGGTGGAAGACCGCTATCGGCTGCGTGTTTGGAGCTCCGCAGTCGCGGAAGAACTCCGCCGCGACTGCGTTTGGGATGTCGAAGAGGCCGAGCACGAAGCGGACGTCCTTGTCGTGGATGGCCGTCAGGGCGCGGCGCTGCCAGTGCGCAGCGCCCCGCTGCCGCGGTTGGTCCGTGCATCTCGCGGTCGGCCTGCCACCTCGAAAAGACAGCGAAGTTCAGCGCGACCTCTGGGTTCCTTGTGGGGCCGCGCAAGTTGGTCCGGATGGTCCACCAGATGTGCGGCCCCGACGCTTCCTGTGCCGTGACTACGGCATCCTTGACCTGGCTGCAGCGCGGCAGCAGCATCCCAGCCTTCTCGTCATGGGGTGCCACCAGGCCCTCTTTGAGCCAATGCCTCTCCTCAGTGCTGTTGCGCGCCGTGGCGCTCTCCTCGAGGGCATGGACCAACGCCTTTGAGGCCCGACCATCGCTGCCGCGCGTGGCTGCGAGCAGGTCGGGGTCGTAGAGGATGAAGATGAGCTCAGCTTTGGCTTTCATGGCCCAATCCGCGACTGCGGCCGCGGCCGCCTCGCTCGCGAGGGCCGCCGAGTTGAAAGCCAGCGCGAGAGTGGGCGGGATGAACTCGCCCTGGTCTGCCCATGGGCGGGAAGCGTTCCACTGGGGCTGTGGCCCGCGGTGCGGCGCCCGCACTGGGGGCCGTGCTTCGCGAGAGTCACGCGGGCGTGCCTTCGGGGCAGCTCCTGCGAATCGCGGGTGGGGGCTCCGCGATCCGCGGTCGCGCCGACCCCCCTCCGGCGGGAGGAGATGCGCCAGTGGCGCGGGCGCGGGCGGCCGCGGGCAACGCAGGCGGCCGCGGTGCTCTTGCGCCGCGCTGCGGTTCTGTCCCTCGTCCTCGCCGTCCACCTCAACCTCGGCCTCGCTCGCCTCCCCCTCCTCGCCCCCCCTCCTCGGCCTCGTCGTCGAGAGTCGCGGGCGAGGGGTGGTCTACGCGACTGCGCTTGGCCCTCGCCCTCGACCTTCCTTTCGGGAGATTCTTCTTGATCGCCATCTTGGCAGCGTGCCGCAGCCGCGCTTTCTTGCGCTTGGCTGGCGGCCCCCTTGCCCTCGGCGGCGCCCTGCGCGTTCGCTCTTTCTTTGGCGGCGGAACTTCCGAAGGCGAAGGCTCTGCCGCGGCGCGCTCTTCCTGCTGCTGCTCCTCCGCGGCTGCGGTTGCATCCTCCTCCTCCCCCTCCTCCGCGTCCTCTTCCTCTTGCTCGGTGCTCGACAACTCGCCGTCAGACGACTTCTCTTCGTCCCAGTCGGCCTCTCTCTATCCTCCGCCGCCAATGCGAGGGTGGCTTCTGCCGCCTCCGCGGCTGCGGCTGCCTCGCGACGTGCCTGGTCGAAGGCCTCCAACTGAGCCCGCTTCTCTTCCAGTCTCTGCTTCAGCTCCTGGAGCTCCTGGTTCGTCTGGCGTTTCTTCGCCTTCGCCGCCGCCGCTGCGGCAGTGTCCGCTGCCGCGGCTCGTCTGCTTCCAGCTGCGCGTTTCGCCGTGGCGCAGCGCGAAGTGCCCCCCCCGCCCCGCTGGCGCCGAGCGCCCAACCGACGCCGCGTGAAGGGCACGGCTGCGGAGGGGGAGAACATGGGCCAGGGCGAGGGGGCGGGGTGGAAGAGGCGGCAGAGTTAATTGCGTCGAAGCCTCTGCTGGACGAGGAGGATAAGGGGAAAGGGGGGGGGGCGGGGGGGGGGGGGGCGACGAGGGGGGGGCGATGAGGGGGGGGGGGGGGGGGGCGAGGGGGAAGGGGGTGATGTGGGTGGGGTGTGTGTGTGTGTGTGTGTGTGTGTGTGTGTTGTGTGTGTGTGTGTGTGTGTGTGTGTGTGTTGTGTGTGTGTGTGTGTGTGTGTGTGTGTGTGCGTGTGTGTGTGCGCGTGTGCGCGCGCGTCGGGGGGGGGGGGGGGGGGGGCGGGGGGGGGCGGCGACGGCGAGGGGGGCAGGGGGGGAAAGGAGGCGGGCTCTTTTCTCTCGGCGCCCGCACCTGCTGCCGGAGCACGACGCCCGCCGCTGCGTTCCATAAGTGCCCCCCCGTCGCTGCGGCGGAGATCTCTGCGCCGCTGCGGTTCCGACCTCGACGGGGGCCGCGGTTTCAGGGTGCCATCCGCCAACAAATGCTTGACTCCACCTCGGCCCACAGGTGGGTCCTTGTGTGCCGTCGAACCTCCGTGTTGTTCCTGCGTGTCCACGGTCCTGTAGTGCTTGTGCGTCCCCGGGCCGTCGCCCTTGCCGAGGCCCTGCCGCGGCGGCCGCGCGTCCCTCCAGTGGGGCTCCACATCGTGCATGTTGAATTTCGTCTTCGACCATTCGGGGTGGGTGCGACTGCCCGAGCCGTCGGTGCGGCGCAGCAAGAAATCCCGCCTGTGCAGCTCTGTATTTGGGGGTCCCTCGCGACTGCGTTTCGCCTGCTTGTTGTGGTCGCGCGAGTTTGGGCGCGGGCGGATCTCGCAACTGACCGAGACAATGCTCCAATCTTTTCCATCGCCGCGCGCTGCGTGCCCCATCGTAGTTGCGCCCCGCTGCGCGACCATCTCCAACCGAAACCAGGGCGCGGTACTGTCGTCGCTGAACTCCCAGCTTGCGTTGTCCTGCCACTTCCGAGCTCTCCTGTTTTTCACGTTGGTCGGGGTAGTCTCGGCAGCGTCTGCATCGAAAACGCGCGTCTCTCAACGCCGCGTTGTGCTGCTTGTAGTTGCCGTTCCAGCCGTGCGCGTTGCATCTGGCCGACTTGTAGTTGAAGTCGTGGAGGTCGTAGGTTTGCGGCGCTGCCCCGGCAGCTGCGGCGGTGTGCGGCGCTGCCTCCGCGATTGCGGCATCCGCGCCTGGCGCGCCTGCGCCGTTCCCTTCGCGGCGCAACGCTGTGCCGTCCGCGAAGCCAGCCAGAGGGGACTGCGTCGCCCCCGCGAGAGCGCCTTGGGCGCTCTCGCGAAGCAACCGCCAGGGATTCTGCTGCGTTGGGGCAAGCGGGGCGCCTGTTGGCCGCGAGCCCCCCTCCTGCGCCGTGGGGCTGGTAGCTCCGCTCGAGCGGTCGCCCCCCCATCCGCTGCTGCGGCCGCCATCCCGCCCGCTCCGGCCGTTCCAGCTGCCATCGTTCCGCTCGCTCCAGCGGCCGTCTTCCCATGCCTCCGTGCGGCAGCCGCCCCGTGCGCCCCGGCGGTCCTGCGTGCCTTCGCCGCTGCGTTGATCTCCGCCGCCGCGGCCCTCGTGGCCCCAACCGCCGCCCCGTCCGTATCCCCGACCGCCGCCCCGTCCGCTATTGCGGCTGCCGCCCCATCCGCTACTGCCGCCAATCGCGACTGCGGGCAAGCCCATGTCCGCTACTGCGGTCGGGCCCGATGGCGGTGCTCCTGCTGGTCGCTGCCTCGCCAATTCATGCCGCCCTTCTCTCTCAAAGACGCCCGCTGCTTGCTGCCTCGCAATCTCTTCTTCGATTGCCTGCCTGCAGCGCGAAGGGGTCCCAATATCCGTGGATTCGGGTCCGCGCGGCCTCGCGAGCGCGCCGGCGCGCTTCGGCGCGAATTGCTTCCACGTAGTCAGGGCCAACGGCCATCTAGCAAAAGCGCTGAAGCGCTGCTTTGAGCCGGCGACGGCGACATGGGCGGAGCAGGTCATCATGATTCCTCGTCGCCCTCGTTATGGCGCCTCTCCTCCTCCTCCTCCTCCTCCTGCTCCTGCTCCTCCTCCTCCCCCTCCTCATCCTCTTTTATGCTCCACAGGAAAGTTCAATTCAGTTTTGGGAATTGCAAGGTGACCTTCTTATTGTGGACAGTGCAGAACCCCCAAATTACGCGCGCGCCCCCCCCTTGGGTGGCGCGCCCCCCGTCGGCCTCCTTCAAGCTCCACAGAAAAGTTTAAGTCCGTTTTGGGAATTGCAAGGCGATCTTCTTATTTTGGACAATGAAGAACTCCCTGCGCGCGCGCGCCGTGGGTGGCGCGCTCCCCGTCGGCCTCCTTAAAGCTTCGCAGGACAAATTAATTTAGTTTTTGGGAAATACTAGGCGATCTTCTTATTGCGGACAATGCGCGCGCCCCCCTTGGGTGACGCGCTCCCCGTCGGCCTCCTTGAAGCTCCACAGCAAAGTTCAAGTCAATTTTTTCGGAATTGCAAGGCGATCTTCTTATTGTGGACAATGCAGAACTCCCGCGCGCGTTATTAGGGAGTTCTGTATTGTCCACAGTAAGAAAATCGCACCCTCCTCATCCTCCTCATCATCCTTTTCCTCGTCCTCCTCTTCATTAAGTGGTGGCGGTGATGGTGGTGGTGGTCATGATGGTGGTTGCGACGGTGGTGGCGGCCATGATGATGGTGGTGGCGGCGATGATGGCATTGATGGTGGTGTGATGGCAGTGATGATGGTGGTTGTGACGGTGGTCGCCGCTCCTTGTTCCACTGCGGCGCACCTGCTGCAACAACTCAACGAGCGCCACTGCGGTTGAGATCCCCGCCGCTGCGGTGGATATTTCTGCGCCACTGCGGTTGAAATGCCAACCGATACTGCGTAAAAACCTATGTGCCAAGGCTCAAAAACCTATGTGAAAAAGCCTTTGTGCGTTCAAAACATTTTTTCTCCCCCTTTTAACCCTAAATTCCTAAATTCCTTTGTTCGGGCTTTTGGATTATGGGCCAGGCGGGGGGGGATTCAGCCACCCAACGTCACAACCGCCTGGTCGCGGCCCACGGCGGATTCGGCGCTGGCCCAGGGAACGCCGCTACCGGGTCGTGGTGGTGCTCTTCGTGCTCCCAGGTAGCGGAATCTAGAGGCCCCGGCTGGCGGGCCCTTCTGGCCCCCCGGGAGTAGCTGCTGTCGTCGACAGCTGGCTACCCCCCGGGGTGCCGCTCGCTTCGCGGGGCGGCGGAGGTGTCCGCCGGCTCCCGACCACAGAGCGTCGGGGCGCGCGGGACAGACTCGCGGCCGTGAGGAAGAGGGGGAAGAGAAGGGGGAGGAGGAGGAGGAGGAGGAGGAGGAGGAGGAGGAGGAGGAGGAGGAGGAGGAGGAGGAGGAGGACGAGGAGGAGGAGGAGGAGGAGGAGGAGAGAAGGAGGAGGCGGAGGAGGAGAATGATGAAGGAGGAGGAAGAGGAGAGGAAGGAAGAGGAGGAGGAGGAGGAGGAAGGATAAAGATGATTGATGATGATGATGTGATGATGAATGATGATGATGAGATGATGATGATGATTGATGATGCTGCTGACGATGATGAGGATGATGATGATGAGATGAGGAGGAGCAGGAGGAGGAGGAGCAGGGAGGAAGGTTGAGGAGGAGGAGGGAGGCAGAGGAGGAGAGGAGGAGGAAGAGGAGGAGTAGGAGTAGGAGTAGGAGTCAAGCTAGCCAGCTCGAGCGAGTCAAGCATGGCATGCCCAGTCCCACCCGCCCTCCCACAACATAAGAAGCAAAGCTGGCACAACTGGGGGCCGAAGTCACACCGGCCAGCCGGTTTGGTACAGCTGATGCGGCCGCGATGGCGGTTGCCGACGGGAACTGGCGAGCGCGTGTTGAATGCCGCGCACGCATTGCCAGACGAGTCGAGAATGGCCTGGTACACCGCAGGAAGCCAGAGGTGGCCGGAGGAAGCCCGACGGTCTGACAGGACACCCCAACAGCATTTTTGTGAAAAAGCATTGGGTTTTTGATGTTTTTATGTTGAAATGCTTGCAAACACACGGTGTTCGGTAGGATTCTGACATGAACGCGCGAGTGTGCTCTTTGTGGTATTTTTTGCACAGGATTCGCGGCCTGGGTGCATGACAGAGCATCGCGAGTGCACCGCGCGATGACGTGAAATCGCTGGATTTGACCGAATTCTTAAGATTCCTATGGTTTTCCTATGATTTCAGCAAGAGAGCCCGGGCGGGAAATTTGTACATTTTTTGTGAAAAAGCATTGGGTTTTTGATGTTTTTATGTTGAAATGCTTGCAAACACACGGTGTTCGGTAGGATTCTGACATGAACGCGCGCGTGTGCTCTTTTGTGGTATTTTTTGCAATGGATTATCGCCGTGGACGACAGGACGTCCATGTCGAGAGGAAAAAATAAGAAAAATTATGATTTTAGGATGGGACCCCCCGGATGCGGCCCTTAATGGCCGGCCTGAGGGGGGAGTAGGAGTATATTCTAATAAGGAATAAGGATAGAGAGTAGGTAATGGAGTACAAGCTATCCAGCTCGAGCGAGTCAAGCCTGGCATGCCCTGGGGGGGAGGAGAGTATCCCCACCCGCCCCTCCACAACATAAGAACAAGCTGGCACACTGGGGGCCGAAGTCACACCGGCCAGCGGGCCAGCGGTTTTGGTACAGCTGATGCGGCCGCGATGGCGGTTGCCGACGGAACTGGCGAGCGCGTGTTGAATGCCGCGCACGCATTGCCAGACGAGTCGAGAATGGCCCGGTACACCGCAGGAAGCCAGAGGTGGCCGGAGGAAGCCCGACGGTCTGACAGGACCCCCCAAAGCATTTTTGTGAAAAAGCATTGGGTTTTTGATGTTTTTATGTTGAAATGCTTGCAAACACACGGTGTTCGGTAGGGTTCTGACATGAACGCGCGAGTGTGCTCTTTGTGGTATTTTTTGCACAGGATTCGCGGCCTGGGTGCATGACAGAGCATCGCGAGTGCACCGCGCGATGACGTGAAATCGCTTGATTTGACAGAATTCTTAAGATTCCTATGGTTTTCCTATGATTTCAGCAAGAGAGCCCGGGTTTGGGAATTGTACAAATTTTTTCCTTTTTTTTTTTTTTTTTTTTTTTTGTTTTTTTTATTTTTTTTTTTTTTTTTTTTTTTTTTTTTTGGTTTGTGAAAAAGCATTGGGTTTTTGATGTTTTTATGTTGAAATGCTTGCAACACACACGGTGTTCGGTAGGATTCTGACATGAACGCGCGCGTGTGCTCTTTGTGGTATTTGTTGCAATGGATTATCGCCGTGGACGACAGGACGTCCATGTCGAGAGGAAAAAATAAGAAAAATATTGATTTTGTATTGTTTTTTACATGTTAGGATGGGACCACCCGGATGCGCCCGCTATCTGCCGGCCTGAGGGGGGAGTAGGAGTATATTCTAATAAGGAATAAGGATAGGAGGAGGAGGAGGAGGAGGAGGAACAGGAGGAGGAGGAGGAGGAGGAGGAGGAGGAGGAGGAGGAGGAGGAGGAGGAGGAACTCAAGGAGGAGCTCAAGGCAGGCGGGGTCCCTGCCAGGGTGAGTTCTTCGTTCCCCTTCGTTCGGCTCTCCCCACACGCGGCTGCCGCCATGGCGCCTTCACGCGGCGGCGGCGGCGGTAGCCGTGCCGCGGTGTCATTCTGGGCGACACTGCTGGCTACCAGCTGCGGCTCGCTGGCAAGGCGTTCGCCTGGCGGCGGCTCTCGCGTGAAGCGGGCGCCCGCAGGTTCGGATTTGGGCGGCTGGTGCGGGATGGGAGCGTCCAGCCCAGCGTGCTTGCGGAGCCAGGTTGCACTGACCGCGTACGGTGGCGACGGCTGCGTTGGCATGGGCTCCGACGGTCGGGGTGAGGCGATTCTGGCGAGCCGCGGAGGCTTCCTTCAGGTGGGCGGCACGATCGCGCCGCAGCTGGTCCTCAAGTGCAGCCGCGAGGAGGCGGACGACAGGGACATCCTCAATGGCGCTCCCGGCGTCGGACAGCTGATGCAGCTGGGCCTGATCGTCGTGTGCGACAGCCCCGCGGAGCAGGAGACGAACGTGAGGGCGGCGCGGACATGTGGGGAATCCACGGTCCGCCTCGGGCGCTTCAGGTTTCATCCGTTCTGTGCCCCCGCTTGGCTCGCCTCCACTCCGCCCCCCTGCTCTGAGTGGCCGATTCTGCTGCTTCGGGTGCTGACGATTGGGCTGAAAGTCGTCCCCCATGTAGTTCGGTACCCTTTCGAGTGGGCGCTTCTGTTCGCGATCGTTGGTCTCCCCATCGCCGCGTTCAGGTGGTTTCCAATTTCCCCGGCCCCCCCGGAACGACGGGAGGTGGTCTTGAGCGTCCTCCGGGCCCGCCAGGCTGGCAAGGCCCGGGTGAGCATGACTTCGAGGCAGCGGCGTCTTGTCATGCCACTGTGGAATAATTCAGCGGGTTCGGCCAGCAACCAGGGTGTGGTGGTGGCTAACGGTGGCTCCTGCCCTCCTACCGACCCGACTGGCGGCTACGGCGGCAAGGCGGATACCTTTGGCGGCCCCTCTCCCTCCCCTCCCCTCCCCCAGTCTGTGGTGAGCGGTGGGGTGTCTCAGGCGAATGCGGCGATTCGCGCCGACGGCAAACCGCCGCTCGAGGGGGGTCTCCGTCGAGCGCCCGCGGCGGGCGACGGTGCCGTTTTCCCCCTGGAGGGCTCTGTGGGTTTTGGAGCCCCTTTCTCTTCGGATTTGTTCCGGGGCGGGGCGTGGCCTTCCAAGGCGGCTCGGAGTAAACGGGGCGACTCTGCTAAGGTGTGGGACGCGATCGCTGCACTGACGGCGGAGGTGAGGAGTCTGGCGCGGGGTCGGAAGCGGAACGGGCGCAAGCCCCGGCGAACGGCTGCGAAGCCGGCGGATGGGCCGAAGAAGCCGGCGGAGGAAACGACCGAGCTTTGGGCGGCGCTCGCGCCTGTGTTGAAAGCTCTTGTGGAAGCCCCGACCCCCCCTACCGACTCGGAGGTGGCTGGGCTCGTGTCGAAACTGGTGGACGTGGTGGGTCGGCGACGGCTCGGCACGGCTCTGGCGGCCCCTCCCGCGGCAGCCGGAACTCAGCCGGCGGCTAAGGCTGACGTTGCTGCCTCGGCGGGGGCTCCCGTTCAGAGCAGAGGGCTTAATGGGGACACCCCCCCAGGGGCGCCGGGGGCCGGGCCGGGGGCGGCTGAGGCTCCTGTGAAGCGCTGGGCGGACTTGCTCGGTGCTGCGCCAGTCGACGGGCAGCGGGCGCCTCGGGGTCCCCCTCCAGAGCCGCCCAAGGTCTTGTGGGAAGCCGCCTGGGCCCAGGACGGGAAGCCAGCTAAGGTTGTCCCAGTGGCGCGTGCGGCCTCCGTGCCGGCCGACGTTCCTCTTGTCGTCGTCGTTGCGTCCGAGGAGGAGGCGGCCAGTGCTCGCAGGTGGGTCGCGGCGGGGTCCCGGCCTGGCGGGACTACGGTGGTCCGCGTGCATTCGGGCGGGGTGTCTCGGGTCCTCGTTCGGGGTCGGGTGGGCCCCCAGCTGGCCCAAGCCACCGTGCAGCACTACGGGGACACGGCGCCGACGTGCTCGGTTGCCAACGCGCCAGCGGACCAGGACGACCAGGCTCTGGGTGCTGCCGAGGACGTCGCTCGTCTGAGGTTGACGTTGGTCCGCGAGTACGCGGATTCTGATCTCTGGGATTTCGTTGCCGCGTCGCCGTCGGCCCTCGTCGCTGCTTCGCTGCCGGATTCGGCTCGTATTGGGATCCTTCGCACGGGGGCCGTGCAGAAGTATGAAGGAGAGGCCGCTTGGGTCCCTAGCGCCCTTCAGATGCAGTTGCCCCGGGGGGTGTTCCTGACCCCGCACAGGGCGTCTTCCGCCGGACAAATCTTGAACTGGGTCCGACGCGACGGGAAAAATCCTGGGGAGTACTTCGAGGCGGCCCTTAGTGCGGCCCAGGCGGTCAAAGGGCCTCTGGCGTACCGCCCCGGCGGGGGGTCGAATTTAGGGGTGTGCGGGGCTGCCCCCGCGGCGCAAGGGTCCCTCGTGGCTCCCCGGTGGTATGTGTCTAACGTCCCGCTCGCCTGGACTCTGGACGAGATTCGGATCTGGATCGAGGGGCGGGGCGGGACCGATGTGGTCGGGGTGCCCCGCAGAGGACGCGCGGACGCCGCCTTCCGCGGGTGGCCGCCCGCTGGTTCGGAATGGAAAGGGGGCGCGGTCTTCTCTTCGGGGTTAGTGATCGCCCCCGCGCACGTTTCGAAACAGAAGAAACGCGGAGGTGCTCAGGCTTCCGCCCCAGCCCGGTGGGGGGTGGTCGACCCCTCCCCCACT